ATTTATACATTTAAAAAGTACAGGAAATTGAAATTTCAGTGACATCTAATTTTTAAAGATAATGTTATTTACGTGACCGCCACCAGCTTTTTGACATTCTTGTAGTCGCACTCGCAGATTTTGAAAAACACGTTGACAAATTGCTCGTGGAATAGCGTTAATTTCTTGCACAATGTTTTGCTTTAACTCTTCAACTGTTGTTGGTTTATTTTCATAGACTCTTGCTTTTAGGTAACCCCCAAAAAAAATATTCATTAGGAGAAAGATCTGGACTCCTTGGAGGTCACTCAATGTCTCCTCTTCACGATATGAGTTTTCTTGGAAATATTTTCTTCAGCATGTCTATTGAGACTATAGAAGTGTGGCAAGTGGCTCCATCCTGTTGATACCACGTCCTATCGTACCCTTGAAATTCTTGAAGAGCTGGAACCAGAAACTCTTGCAACATCTGGCAATAATTCTCAGATCTCACTGTCACAGCAACTCCTCTTTGGTTTTCAAAGAAATATGGCCCAATTATTCCACCAGCCGATATTCCAGCCCACACAATGACCTTAGGGCTATGCAGAGGTCTTTGATGCATCTCACGGGATTAGATTCGGACCAAAAGCGGCAATTTTGCTTATTAACATGTCCGTTGACATGAAAGTTTGCCTCATCACTGAAGATTATGTTGGAAAAATTGTTAAAACGTTCCAGCATAACATTAGCAAAGTTAAGTCGAAGATTGGCATCATTAGGATTCAACAACTCTTGTGTTAACTGAATTTTATACGCTTTTAAATGCAAATCACGGTGCAAAATCCTGCGCAAAGTAGTCCTCTTGATGTTCAAGATTTGGCTTCTTTTGCTAGTCGATTGCCGAGGATTTTCTCTAATCGATTCATGAACGCGTTGAATAATCTCCGGCGTCCATATTGGCTTCGGGCGGCCCGCATTATTTAGTTTTACTGTAGACCCGGTTTCTCCGAACATCTTAACCTATTTTCGAATAGAATTTGCGCATAGTGCTTCTCTGATGCCATGTAGGCCGAAGTGAACGCAGTACATTCGCCTAACAACTGTCACAGAATTGTTGTTGACATAATACGCGCAAACATAAAACTAAAAATTCCACAAAATGGCGCGTCTAACGACACCCCCCGCGCCCCCGTACCTTTGACGGTTCTTGAATTATAGATAAAATAAAACGCTCATAGTGTTAAGGCCCACCCTGTTTCACAATGTATTTTTTACAGCCCTTAGTAACCACGACAAGTCCGTCGTGACGTAGAAAGGAGAACAGATGCAAAGTAATACGGACACTTATGCGCAGCGATAAAGTTTTATTTAGCTTACGTGCGCGATTTATCGGATTAATCGTAAATATGTAGATTGTAGACTATTAAAACGCCGGCAAATAGTCAACATCAAAGGAGTGCAACTTCTGAACGTAGTACCTACTATTTATTCTGTACTACTAGCTGGTACCCAGCGCGTTGTTGCCATAGAAAATAATTGTGGAAATATAATTTTAAGCTTTGAAGAGTTAAGTACGTTTAATTAGGAATGATAATGATAATAATATTCAGCTTTCGAATAAATTTTGTCGGTACTACACGCGCGCCACCTACTGTAAGTTAGTTGTACCATGCCTATAACCTTCGCGGAAGTGCAAGCAATAAGTTTTAACACAATCTGGTGAACGGTATGGCAGCGCATAAGATACGAATAAACAAAAATTTATTTTTATATATTAGATAAGTTAAATAATTTTATAAAATTTGCCGTGTAGTGGCGGTAGTAAGAATATCGAGAAAATATAACATGATCTCCCTAATGTTGTTCACTCCAGCCGGGTTGGAGCCGTCGATTGACTTCTTGGTCGAAATTGAACTTAAATATTCGGACAATTTGTCCTAGATAAACATACTCGTTATCAACTTCAAGCGTAGTGTTTTTAGTCGGCATAGTATATTATGTGGCATATGTGACATGGACTTTACACATGACCTTTGTTTTGTGCATGATCAACCGTTGGGGGGACAGTATTAAGATCATTGAAGCATGTCGCTGACCTGCTCCAGCTATTTTGTCGTAATGACGATCTCGTCGTTAAATTGAAGGTGAGTGGTTGCTATTTTGGAATCTATATTTCATGCGCATATGAGTTTTGAGAAATTGCTAGAATATTCGAATATTTCGAATAGAATATTCGAATGCAAGTAATTAACAATTTCTTTTATTTTCTATTTATATTCATATAATATATTTTATTAATTTCTTTTTATTTACTGATATTATGAGCGCTTTGCTGCATCCATGGTCTCGAGGAGATCAGAGGTGTTTAAAGTTCTGTCATAGTAAGCCCGGGCTAATTCAGGTTTTATTCATTTGTGGTCCGTTCGACATAGAGTTAAGTCAAAGTATTTTGAAGATAAATGCTTAAAAGCCGTAATAATATGTAATTCCATTTTGACATGCTTTTTATGTATAAAGATGTAGTTTGTTGCTAGGCTGCTATCGCAGTAACGTTGGATTTTTTCAAGTCTCCGTTCTTATTAAGCCGGTTATCAGTCAGAAGCCCCAATTCGACACCGGCAACTGTTCGGCTCTATCGCACACTTCCGGCCTATCTCAAAATAAAGGCTGTTATTTAATTTATATACCCTGATGTCCAAATAATCGATGTTAGACGTTAGATTGCGTTTTGATTGCGTGTTACCTCCCTACGGACAAAATATGGCGTGCCTTATCACCAGTATAAAGAGTTCCCGGTTGTCGTCAGTAACAATACCAATTTGTCATAAAGTCTATATCTACATATCTACTTACAAAGCTGACTTAAGAAAGAGCTTGGAAGCGGCCACGTCATTCCCAGGGGTTATTAACAATCATGTATTCATTTATACTATAAAACGCTTTTTTACAGTGTTTATTAAATAAATATTTAAACTTGGTAATATTTTCTGGGACTTTATTGTAATAGCGTATACATTACTCCATGAATGAATTACTGACTATGTGGAGTTGAGAATGATGATTATGTTATTTAGTTATTTTGTGGCAAACTTATAACTTTTATAACTGTATGATATAAAATTGTTATCTTTATTTTTTATTGAATAATGGTTTTGTTTAGGTTGCAATGCTACAAATATGTAAAAACAAAACGTACTTTATCAGATATGACAGGCAAGATGTATTCATGTCTCTTTGTTTGTAAGATGACTTGCATTCTCGTGACTCACGTATTCTATATATATGTATCTTTCTATACGTGGTAGAGCCATGCTGCAGCTATATTAGTAGTATAGTTGTAGCACGAATGGGTCGGCTCAGCCAGGGAAGGACCACGCTCTCACAAAACACCAGCGTAAAATAGCAGCTTAACTGTGCTGTGTTTCGAATGTTAGTGTAGAGAACCGGAGACCCTTTTTACTGGAAAAGAGGCATTGCATCTTAGTCCTCGCGGGTAACAACGCATCTGAATTTTGATTCTTTATTGAGTATATATGTCTATGAATCACAGCAACCACTCACCATCAGGTAGACTGTGTGCTCGTTTGTCACCCAAGAGTATAAAAAAAAACCACAGTTCACCATGTAAGGTGAAAGTGGTAAAACTAGAATTTTGCTACGGATACGGCTGTTATGAACTGCATTAACCGTCCATTTGTTTGTGTTGTGCGTTCGAATGATAGATAAATCAAGCCGGTAATTGTACAAGACTATATTTGTTTTCTTGCTTATGCCGGTTTTCTATAATTTAAAAACGCTTTTCTACTAGGAATCGGTTTGCAGTAAATAAATTGCAAAAAAAAAAAACCCTGTTTATAAAACTAAATAGCAACAAATGCAACTATTTATGAACCGTATAAAGATATTTTTTTTAATTTTAAGTCATCCTAAGTTGCTGAATGTATAGTTTTGTAATATAAACAGTTTTTACATGCACCTCGTATGTAATAAAACGGATCGTTACGGAGAATGAAACGTTTCTTGAATATAGGAATAGGACATTAATCTTAAGCCTTATAATATAATATTCTGCTCAAATGATAATTTGAGGTTATGGTTATCAAATAATAGGAGCTTGTCAGACAAGTGGAACGTTCGTTGTTTGATTACTGCCCCTAGAGCGTGAGTATATCGAGACATATCGTATTGTATTCGTATCGCCTTTTAGTTACTTTGTATGTCAAAACATAATTTTCCATTTACGTCCGATATGAGCACTGTTCATATTTCCTATATACATATACACACATATACATTTATACAATCTTAGTCGATGACGATACAAAAACGGTAGTGTCAACAACTTGTGCTAGCCATAAGGGAATACACTACAATGGTAGTGCAACATCTTTATAGCCCGTAACCTTAGAGCATACCTGAGCATAGTGACCAACTTAGCAACTTTATAGCTAGATCTAGCTATTATTTGGTGACAGACACTTTTTCGCAACTTTTCATTTCATCAAGAGATGTGAGGCTATCGAGATTCGTAGAGTAGAGTACCGAGTCCCGAAAGAAAAAATAAAAACTAAACGCGAATCTATGGTCATAGATGCTATGGTAGGTTTAGGTCGGCGTTGCCCGGGGATTCCCCGTTTCCTGCTGCACTACGACAGATTACTCACTAAACCAAAATAGTAAGCGCTACTCGTATTCCACCTTGTGTTGTTTTGTTTTATCCGTTTATCTGTTTTAAATTTATTTAAAAAAAGGATTTATCTTCGAAATAAAGCGTACGCACAGAAATATAGACCGAAGTGGGAAAAATATGGAAGAATTTAAAGGTTGGTTGTGTTTTATAACTCTGAACTCAATCCTCTGCATTAGAGACTCCCCAGGAAGTGATAAATGCTGCTATAACTGTGTTTTGCGTAAAGATGTAGGTACAGAATAAAATGGGCACGGCTGAAAAATATTCGGAATTAACGACGAAAGACACTGAACCCCAACGATCGACATCTTCTTTGATTGATTAATTTTAAACTTATTTTTTTTTTATTCAATAACGCAAAATTTGTACCACAAAAGTTGACAATAAATATAATATAATATAATATGGTCCTATGTTGTTTACATTGCTCGTAACTCTACACAATACATTTTTAACTCTGTCTTGTTGGAAATTAAAAATGATTGTCAGAAATGGATATTTCATTGTAATCTACCTATGTACTGTAACATTTCCCTACTTCTAGCAACTTTTTGTTGTAAAAAAAAATGGCATTTTGAAAAATGTCTAGCAACTAGGATGGCCTAAAGGTCTAGATACCAGGCCATAAATTCCAAAAAAAATCTAGCAACTGGGTTGGCAACACTGCCTGAGTAAGCTGGCTTAGGCACCGTATAAAACAGAACGAGTCGGCCCAAAATCAATTATTGGGTTTTTCTGTCAGGAAATTCCCAGCAGCAGCCCGGAGTCAGGAAGTTGGCGGTGTCTCACCCCCGTGCCTTGGAAAGCATGTAAAGCCGTTGGTCTAACGCCTGATCTCTCTACGATCGTGTCGGTTTACCGTCCCATCGGACTATGAGAGTGAGGGAATAGAGAAAGCACCTGTGCTTGCGCACACGCTTGGGCACTATAATACTGTCCTGCGCTGTTGGCTAGTCTCCTTTGAGACTTGCCGCCGTGACCGAATTACGGTCTCGAGAACATTATTATTATTATTACTACACAATTAGGAACCTATATAATTTCTTATAAAGATTTATACTTCAATTAACAATTCGTTTACCTTAAACAACTTTCTGGGTCGTAGGACTCCTTTTGCCTAGGAGTACGTGTGGGTAAGTACCACAATTTTAACAATTTCTGCCGTCAAATAGCAGTGCCTGCAATCCCATAATCCGGTCTGACGTATAAGTATAGTAATCTAAAGTGCATGGAGCCAAGATAATTGCAGGCTATGAGGCATTCCAAAGCCTCGGAGGTGACAATGCATCTGCACCCTTCTCTGTTTGCAGGCTGCAGTAGCCAATTATAATCTAGTGGACTGCCAGCTTGTTTGTCACTTCAGTTTTATTAAAAAAACGTACTCTTCGTGATGATGAAAGCGTGGGAGATATACATCAGCATCAGGATGGCATTTGTTGGTTCGTCGATCGATCGGTATACCTGTTATAAAATCAGATGGACTGTTAGTTTGTTTGTCATTTTTATAAAATAAATAGAAATCTTCGTGACGACGAAAGCATGGGTGGTACGTATTATCTATCTACGTATTAGTAAAGTTACAGTCTATCTGATAATAAGTGGATGTGATGATGCTTATGAGACGTCTTTATATATCTTCGATTAAGAATCAAAATGCAGATGCGTTTCACTGAAAAGGCTCTCCGGTTCTCTACACTCATCATACGAAATACAGGAGATGGAAGCTGCTATTTTACGTTGGCATTATGTGAGAGCGTAGTACTACGCCGGTCAAGCCGCCCCATTCGTGCTACAACCATAATATAGGTGCAGCGTGGTTCTACCACGTAAAATACCTCTTTCAACAACTAGTTTAACTTAAATACTTCAACTAAGCGATGGACTCACTTGAGCTGGCGGCCGTGTTTGCAGAGTATGAGCAGGCACAGCAGGTCGCAGATCTCGAGCGCGTCGATGAGCCGCAGCGGCACGGAGGCGCCGGCGCTCTCGCGACGGCGAGGCTGCAGGTGCAGCCGGTACGTCGACATCGCGATCGTGCCGCCGTCCGCCGTGCGACCCACCCACTGCGAAGAGAGCGCCTCATGGTTATTTTCTCCTGGTATTCGGAAGCGTTACACTGTTAAAAATACAACAGTAACAATTTGCATACGTATAAAAAATAGGGGTGCGATCCGCCTTAGGCCGCGTTTCCACCAGATATGTGCAAGGATGTGTTTGTTAAGAACCATATAGGATCATTTCTTTTACCTATCGTCGCTCATAGCGCAGCTCTAGTGGAAACGACTCATCGGAGCGAGGTTTTTGTACATATACAAAACAAGGGAAGAATGTGTGCGCGGGATGTGTGCGAGGGCTGTGTGTGAGGTATGTGTTCTATTAAGGCGGCTACTGACATGCCTGCCGCAGGGGCAATCTAGGGAGTACAGCGATCGGGGCAATATCTGAACTGTCTCTACACACATGCCTGCCGTTCAGTATGAGAGTGTACATCTCGCCGGTCGCTGGACGCACGCGTTGAGAATGGCGCCAGTTTTATCGAAATATCAATGAATCGGTATATACGAGTAGGTTTGGCTCTTTTTTATATAGAATAAAGGTGACAAATGAGACAGTCCACCTGATCGTAAGTGGACACTGTGGCCCATAGACACCCACATTTATCAATAAAACAACTAATTAATTAATAATTACAACCATAATATAGTGATTATAAGCTGCAGCATGCTGCTAAACATCTCTTGTCTTGCGTCAGCAAGTAGTGTAAATAGCAGTAGTTTCGGCTCGCCGCTCACTTAGTGGCCAGCCTCCGCAGAGTCTACTTCACCTGAGGATGCCTGGTATACAGGCGAACCACGTGTTGTATTTTCGAGAGTGGTGTGTCGTGCCTAGTGTGGTGGTGCTGAGGGAGGGAGGGTGGGAGGTCCCATTAAAACTGGGCAGGACACATCATTTTCTTTCTTTACGCAGAGTTGAGCAAATTAGTTTATAATAACCCCATTAAGAAACAACTTAATAATTCAAAAATAAATTTCTGCAGTGCTGTTGAGCTCTCGAAATAAAAATCTAGCCTTAACCTAGTAGCCTAGCCTAGCCTAGTGACCTTCTTTTATAGAAGCGGGGGCCAATGAGTATCCGGTTCACCTAATGGTAAATGTCGACCGCCGCCAATGAACAACGACAACACCAGGGGAATTGCAGGTGCGTTGCCGCCCTTTTCAATAGAAGTAAGCTCGTTTCTTGAAGGTCCCATAGTCGCATTGGTCCGGAAAAATCGCCGGTGATAAACGATATTTCGGGTATTATCCAATATATTATATGTACATATAGACTATTACTTTAACTAAATAGAAAAACGTGATAGCACAGGTTTAACGAATAGTACTTTAAACATCATAATTTAATTTCATCTCTGTAATCACCGTAATACTTTCAGCAGATTTTTTCGATTTTTCAACTTGTAAGATTTTTAATCAAATTACAAAAATTGAACGGCGAATGAACGCCATTAATAATTGTTTCATTTATTTAACTCATTTGCGTCTTTAATTTTATCAGGTAAGGTAGTCTGATGTGTGGCGATTTGCGAATTTCACATGCCATTAAAAACCGGCCCAGTGCCAGTCGGACTCGCGCATGAAGTGTTCCGTACCATCACCTTCTTTTCTAGTAGGGGAGCCCTTTTAATTTTTAATTTATTTTTATTATTTGTTGCTATAGCGGCAACAGAAATAAGTACACATTCTGTGAAAATTTCATCTGTCTACCTATTACAGATCATGACATACAGCCCGCTGACAGACGGACGCCGGACGGGCAGACAGCGGAGGCTTAGTAATAGGGTCCCGTTGGTTACCCTTTGGGTACGGAACCGTAAAACTAGCGACCTGCCCCAGCTTCGCCTGGATATAATCTATTAATGTGGCGTTATTTGAATTTAAGGTAATGTAAGAAGAAAAATACAAAAAATTTATAAAATATCCATTTTTGGTTTTTTTTTTACATAAAATTTTCATTATTTTCAGATAAAATATAGCCTAGATTACTCCTGACATTGCTCTCTGTGTGTTCGTAAACTTTCATCATAATCAGTAAAGCCATTCCGAAGATAATCCTGGACAGACAGATAGACAGACAAAAAAATTAAAATGGTAGTTTATATCTTAATTGGATGTAGGAGTAAGTAACCCCTAAGCTAAATAAGTAAATAGTATAATAAAAGTATGTCAGTTATTTTAATATTACAGACAGACACCAATTTTATTTATGTGTACGTAAATGTATGAGATTGAAATGTCAACAAGTTTATATACTCGAAAAGTGTACCTTTACATCACTAAACTGCCATGAATTCCTTACATTTCAGTCCACAAATTTGTATACTCGCAATTGATAAGGCCCAGTCACTGGCATACTAAATACTATTATCGTACCGCCAGAGTTCGTTCAACCCGATGCATTCAACCCGCTGACCTTTTGGGCCATCAGTCGTCTTCCTTAACAGTTGTACTGTTTAAACACGTGGCACGCATAGGGTTGCCGACAGGAAAATTGTTCCGGCGATGATTTTGTAAAATAAAATAATATTAATGTAAGTTAAATTGAAAATTTTAAAAAAACCCCCGAAAAGAACTCTGCCGCAGCTAACAAAACAGCTGATGACCTTGAAACGGCTGCACCGATTTTGATAAAACATGTCCAAAAACCACCGCTAGAAAATCTGCTTTTAAATAAAAGACACGCCCTCAAATCAGTTCACCCGTTTAAGAGCTACGGTGCCACAGACAGACACACACACACATAGCGGTCAAACTTATAACACCCCACTTCTTGCGTCCCCAACAGTATTACTATGAATGGGTGGATGATCGCTAATGGACTGGTGATGAATTTTACATTAACTGCTCTTTTTCACAAGTAGATTTTTTTTATTTGAGTTCTGTAAATTAAGCAAAATTAAACTCTGATGCGGTATCGGTTTGTCACAAAGAGTTTTTGTCTGAGAGTTTCACGAATATGATTGATTTGTGGAATGAAGGGGGTAAAGAGTTTTAATGTCACCGAACACTAATAAAATATAATTAAAAATAACCTACATATATTAATTCCTAGTTACCAATTTTATGACCTTAGGATAATATTTAGCATCCCGATTCTACCATGTAAAAGTACTGCAAGTACAAGTGATAAAATTAAAAATTTTGTACAACCGACTTCAATAAAAAATATTAAGGATAAGTCAAAAACTAATAGTCAGACCTTGATCAATTTTTTATGGGACCACCGGGCGAGTGTACCCTTTGAAAAAAAATATTACAAATCGGTTCAAGCGTGTTCGAGTAATCGGTAATCATATATATAAAAAAAGATTCCGACGAATTCAGAACCTCCTCCTTTTTGAAGTTGCTTGAAAATCGAATATAGGATTAATAACATTCATTCTTAAGCATTACAATTAATTAAATCGACTACTTGAACATTGGAATGCATAACAATCAATTTTAATGAATTACGTATGCGAGTGTAACGTCTCGGAAACGCAAAAATGTTATAGAAATAGTTATTTCAAGACCCGTTCTTTACATTTTACTTATATATGTTTAGATATGTGACATTTCAGAATATAGATATATAGATAGACGGCTTGGCGGCGTTCGGGAGATTACAACATCTTCTCGTCAGACATACCTCAAAACCTCAAAACTAGATTGCACAACCAGTGCATGTTACCAGTCATGACCTATGGATCTGAGACGTGGTCCTTCACTGCTGGCCGTATGAGGAAGCTCAAAGTCGCTCAGCGAGCTATGGAGAGGGCTATGCTCCGCGTTTTTCTGCGTGATAAGACTTAAAACCGAAGATATCCGCAGTAGAACCAGAGTAACTGACATAGCCCAAAGAATTAGTATGCTGAAGTGGTAATGGGCCGGCCAAATAGCTCGAAGAATCGACAACCGATGGGGAAGAAAGGTTCTCGAGTGGCGGCCTCGTACAGCCGAAGTGTATGGCGTCCCCCCACTAGATGGAGTAACGACCTGGTAAGACATGCAGGAGGTCAATGGATGCAAGTGGCTCGGGACCGTGCTTTGTGGCATTCCTTGGGAGAGGCCTATGTTCAGCAGTGGACTTGTGAAGAATATATATATACATATTTAATAAAGTACAAAACATTTGAATTAATTACTGTTCCCAATTACTGGCGTAAACAACCCTTAATTCTTCAGACAGACAGTTTTTTAGAAGTCATTCGCTTATTAAAGTTCCGGCACGTAATGCATAATGCCTTGAATAACAAATTTAACAATTATTCCCTGTTTCTTTATGTACACTAAACATGTAATGAAAATATTTTATTTATTATCCGATTTTTATATACCTAACAACAATTTTTATATACCAAACAGCCTCAGTCCAATTGACTTATAGGACACATATTAATTAATTAGCTCCGCTTCTTTTTTACGGAAAGCGAAAGTAAGGCGTTTTATTTACTTGATGGATATAAGATCGTATTAAATAAAGGCTATAACAACATTAGATCAAATAACTGATTTAAGACATAACTAAATACGAAAATAATATACATTTACGTATTTTTTTTATACTCATAATGAGGGTCACAAGTAGGCTTGCCAACTCAACATAAAGGTTTTTCCGGGATTACCCAGCTCGACATCCGGGACTTGGGTATATTACGCGGGACACAACACACCACATACAAATTGGTTAGAAAAAAAAACAAATTGGTTAAAAAATTCACTGCATTTTTCATCAAAATTAATTTTAATTTGTAGTTCAGCCTTGATGTGGTCAATAAACAGCTTATTTCTGCTTTCTGTCCATGCATTTCCACAGAGATAAAACACTCTCTCATTTGAAAGTGGTATCGAAGCTACGGCTAAGGTGTGTAGTTGGTACGAGATAAATACTAATATCATATAATCACTGATTTCCGGGACAAAATGCGTCCCGCAAGGGGTTACGGCGGGACGGTCCAAAATTGAACCGGAAGCGGGACGTCCCGGAAAATCCGGGACGGTTGGCAAGCCTAGTGACAAGCGAGCACACAGTCCACCTGATGGTAAGTGGTTGCCGTGGCCCATAGACATCTACCTCGTTTGCGAATCTAAATGCAGATGCGTTGTCAGCCATGAGGACTAAGATGGAATGCCTCTTTTCCAGTAAAAAGGGTATCCGGTTCTTTACACTGACCATACGAAACACAGCAGCGTTAAGCTGCTATTTTACGCTGGTATTCTGTGAGAGCGCCCCGATCGATACAATTAATGTAACTGCAGCATGGCTCTACTACGTTAAAATTTTGATTACTTAGTTTTAATGAATTATAGAAGTAAATATTTAAGTGAAGATATTAGCAATAAAATCTAAACATATAAATCAAATTGTAGTGAAGGTATTATATGCTTGCCATTAAACGGAATAGCCGTTTTTAAAATGTTTGTCTGTCTGTCTGAAATTTTATGTAAAATATAATTTATTGAGTTTTTTTTTCATAAATGTACTATTTATAAAATAAACGGTTTTTGATTATCTTAAATCTAGATAATGTAGTATTATTAGATAGGGATTAGATAACATGTAACAATTACTTTGAGTTTTATTTCCCTCTGTTCTCATTTGGGATTTAATTTTATTAATAATAGGATCCCAAGCAGAGCACTCAGCCAACCATACAACTGGAAGACTTCAAGATACTATTAGTCTATACTGCGTAGATCGGAACAAAAATTAATGGTTTTTTTATCTGGAGGTAACCGCGGTTAACCATGACATTGGGACGTTAAACATCTCAGTCCACCCCCCGTGACCATGGGTGCTGTAAAGTGCTCCAAACGTCGTGAATATAAAATAAGTTAAAATCCGTAAAAACTAGTTTTATTTAAATGTCTACGCGTAAATATAAGAAATGTACTAGGTTAAGTTGTCGTTGAAATTTCCGAGAAATTTAGCAATTTGGCCCACCTAAAATCGACCAGTTTATACATATATAACACCTGCTTAATATTATATTCTGACTGAAGACTATGTGCCCATACCACAATAAACAAATAAAAAATTTATCTTAAGCTTTGATCACAATATTTGGGAAAGAAAAAGATAATCCTTTTTCTTTTTTCAACCAGAATTGACTGTAAGGTAGAAAGAGAGCTAATATATGCCTTATATGTGATAGGTGGCAATCTATGCGTAATATTCTTGAAAACAAGAACAGAGTTTTTTGGGGGACGAAGGATGAGTGCCGCTGTAGTTAGAAGTGGTAAAATTAAAAATTTTGTACAAGCGACTTCAATATAAATTATTAAGAATAACTCAAAAACTACTGGTCAGACCTTGATCAAATTTATATGGGACCACAAGAGAAGCACCAGCTTTGAAATAAGAGAAATCGGTTCATCTGGAAAGAAGTTATGAGATAACACAAAAAAAATACAGCCGAATTGAGTACCTCCTCCTTCTTGAAGTTGGTTAAAGAATGTCCGCAGCAATTTTTATTTTTACTATTTCCGTCTTATTAATTATTGACCGGACAAAATAAGCATTAGTCACATTGGTCCGCAGTAGCACGAATAGGTAAGCCCGTGTGCTTTGTGCGTTGAATTGAGATTTGATTTTTATGCGGCGCGAATTGTCAGACACCAAATCTCATCAAACAACTGACAGTGATCGAAAAGCTGTTTTGAATGGAGGAATAATTTTGTATGCGCCCCGAAGTCCACAACACCATTAAGCACAATTTTGTCGATGCAAAGATGTGTGCCGAAAACGAGGCATCATATAACGTATAGAACAACCACAACGCACACAACGCAGGATTTGTTTGATGAGGCTGCGCCATTGCCAGCCAGTACCAGGAGTATATAAATCGAAAGTAGTATCTCACCTTTACGAACTCGCCGCATATGGGTGTGAAGCCGGCGTCAAGGCCGGGCTCGTCGTATTGCGCTTTCACGCGCGGGTAGAGGTCCGCGGCACGTACGCGAAGCGGCGGTGGCGGCTCGGGCTGCGGCGGCGCGCGATATCTCTCGCGCTCGCTCATCTCGCCCGCGGACGACGATGCCACCTGGTGAATTATAACATCTCTGTAAATATGGTTGCCTAGTACAAAATAAATATATTTTTCAAAATATAAAAATAAAGGGCGATTTTTTAAAATATTTTGTGATTAAACCAATTTTATTTTTAAACTTTACCGTAAAGCCGCGTCTCCACCAAATTTTTGTTGTCAACACAACAAAACAGTTTCCATTTTGGCGGCAACATCAAAGGAATACGCTTGTTGCCAACATTTGTTCCCTAGGTGGAGACGCTTGTTGACAGAAACATTTGTTGGCAACACGTGTTGACAACTGTTGTGTTGGCATCAAAACTATGGTGGAGACGCGGCTTTACAACTTATTAAAGTCCACGGCTGAACATAGGCTTCCCCGGCAGATTGCCTCATGGGGGGGATATTTGCCGTAGTTGCCACGCTTGGCAAGCGGGTTGGCAACCGCAGTTATTTTATTTTCAGTCGTTATTGGGAAGATGCAGCTGCTCATCTCCTAATTTGTTTCCCTCTGTCGCCTCTTACGACACCCACGGGATGATATGGGGTAGTGGATATTCTTACACACACGCATAATTTTTTTAAACTTCAGGTTGATTTATTTTATAAATAAATTACGTCAGTTACAGAAGTTGTAAAAAGTAATAAGTAATCCCTTAATAACTACGATTCATAATAACAAATTTTCATTGATTTATTAATAGCAGCCCATCAAAATCCACTAATGGATGTAGGCTTCATGACAGATTGCTTCATAAGGGGAATATTGGCTTGGCGGGTTGGCTGTCTCAATTTTTTTTGTTCTAGTTGTTAATTTTATAACATGAAAATTACACTTTTAATAAAAAATAATAACCGGCTTCAAAATAAAAATAAAAAAATAATTTCCACATGGTAGCTGAAGTCTGAATTATAAAGTCGATGCTAAGATATTTAATTTATATATATTTTATACACAAATTATAAATCATTTTATATAATTGTTGCGGGTCTGAACTTTGGATGTTCAATTTAATATAATATGTTAAACGTCTCCACGAATCGGTTAACTAAGCTAGCTAAGATCTGTAAATAGCTCCTTAATTGCGTTTTACATAATATATTTTAAGCATGTGTAAACTATTTGCTTAACGGCCGATTTTCCTCAGGTAAATGTCATCCATCTATTAAATTATAACCAGCCTAAATATACAAGTGAAACAATTGTACTATCATATCTACTTTATTCATAGAACTGTAACTTTAATTTGTTTGTGTTGCTTTTTATCCTATGAATAATTTTCATCTGACTACTGAAAAATCTGCCACATGCTGTAAATGTGCAGCAAAAAAACATTTAAATAGAACTGCAATTATAGGAAGACAAATAACAATAAGCACATCGTTTAATATGGACAAGACAAGGCAAATGTGTCTGAACAAAGCAAGGCAAATCTCTAGCGTGTGTCATATACGCTGGCCGTCTCATGATTTAACTGTTCACCGCAGGAATGCTCACTTGCATTATAACTCAAGAATTAACTATGAAAAGTGCCTGCTAGTGCATAGCCACTGTTCCATGTACAAATTCCATAATATACAGTCATTATTTTTTTGCAAACACGTTAGGTAAACAAGCACGTTCTCTGTAATTAATGTTTAAAAAATACATTTCCTTCGTGAATTGCGATCGTAAAATTGATAGGTGAAGGATAACATCACTTAAAATGGCCGTGTGTTTTTATTATTATCACCAGTCGGCCTGCAAAGCATGGCCATTTTGACAAATGCTTAAAAGAGTCATAACAAATCAGCAAATTATTGCATCCCTGTTAAACACATTAATTCTTGCTTGGTAAAAATTTCAAGGCAATGCCTATCAATTTTTACGTGGTAGAGCCATGCTGCAGTTGTATTAATTTTATAGTTGCAGCACGAATGGTTTAGCTCGATCGGGGAAGGACCACGCTCTCACAAAACACCAGCGTAAAATAGCAGCTTGATGCTGCTGTGTTTTGTATGGTGAGTGTAGAGCAAAACGGAGACCCATTTTACTGGAAAAGAGGCGTTCTATCTTAGTCCTCACGGCTGACAACGCATCTGCATCTTCTATTTAATAAAAAAAGAATCATCAAAATTGGTTCACAATATGCGAAGTAATCGCGTAACATACATACAAAAAATATACACTCGAATTGAGAACCTCCTCCTTTTTAAAGTTGATTAAAAATAATTTCCACATATTTAGCTTCAGGATTCGGTGCTAAGGCATACCGTCTTATTGCAAAAAGTAGTCAATAGTTAGTGTCGGTTTTAAAACAGTCTGTTTTATTAAAGAAACGCTAGGTGGAAAATGTAATCACAAAGACGACACGTGGCGCGACGGTTAAGGGACTACTTTCGTGACAAATACTTTTATTTACACCGGAGATAATCGATAGATAAAGATATTTTACCTACGTGCAAATTATTTTATTAAGAAATCATTACTTTTCAGTGAACTAAGGTATATCACAAGCCAAGTAACAACACTATTTTTCATCACACCTTTAAAGGGTGGAACTCTTCTTCCAAATTTTTATTGGATCACCCCTGAAATAATGATGGTAAGTGGATAATGTGGCCCATAGACTTTAGATTTATCCTCGATTAAGAATCAAAATACATGTGCATTGTGAAAAAAAATTGGCGATGAAACTTTACGCAAAGATAGAGAGTAATGCCAGGACGGGTCTGGGCTATATTTTAGTCCACCTGATGGTAAGTGGTTGCTGTAGCCCATAGACATCTACATTTATCCTCGATTACAAATCAAAATGCAGGTGTGTCGTCGTCCGTGAGGACTAAGATGGAATGCCTCGGTTCCAGTAAAAAGAGTCTCCGGTTCTCTACACTCACCATACGAAACACAGCTGCGTTAAGCTGCTATTCTACGCTGGTATTCTGTGAGAGCGTGGTCCTTCCCTAGTCGAGCCGACCCATTCGTGCTACAACTATACCACTAATATAGCTGCAGCATGGCTCTACCACGTCCATAAATATATATAATTTGCATATATTACGCGCAGTGAGACGTGTCTGAGATAATAAAGCGCGGACATGTTTAGATATGCAGCACTCAGTTGCACTATGTACAGGACGTTTGCAATTAACTCCGGAAAACTAGTTTAACTATCGAGTAGCTTGAAGTATGGAATTACGCATTTATGCAATCTGGTTTCAACTCTCAGTAATGATAACCCATTAAATCAAGTGTTCTTTCCTTCTCAGTGGTAATTTAAGGGTTAAACGTTCGCCGTAATTTCTTTGTACACGGCAACCTGAGTTCGATCCCGTCGGCAGCAATAAAATTGTTAATTGGAATTTTTAGTGCTAATTAACTACATAGATAAAGTTACAGCTAGGGTTGTCACCTTTTTTTAAAGTAAATAAAGTATATATATATATATACTTTTCTAAGTTAAAAAATAAAGTACGACAAGTGAAAATAATGTACTCGTATTATTTGTTTGACATAATATTTTATACACACAATATTATTTACATTCTATAAGGATTATATTTTCTTCCTTTCATCCCATCAAAGAATAAACTCTGTAAATAACGCTAAAGTGACGGGAAAGAACACCAGATATGACACACAAATTTGTGTATAAATTTACAAAATCGTCACTACATAGAAAAATATTTTGTATGTAAATAGTTATTTTAGTAAACATTTAAAAACCTTGAAAATGGTTAAATAGGTAAAATAAAGTATTTTCACATACTTTATTGGTCTCATAAAGCATAAAGTACGTTTGCCTGAAATAACGTAGGGTGGCCAACCCTATTTACAGCCTATAAACGTCCCACTACGATATTTACAGAGCGCTTAGCCCATGGGCTAACACGGCTTTACCTACACTTTTAACCACAAATCAAAATAAAAAATCAAATTATCATATATGTAATAAGGTATCTAGTTTCCCTTGAGGTTGAAATCGTCTTAGATTTCATTAATATAATTAAATGAAGAGATAGAGTCGAGAAAAATAAAAACAAAGTACAGTACACAAGCAAAGTGCACACTAAACAGCACTGTACCTAGTGTTAACGCTGAAAAATCTCTTCATGGAGTCTATTTATAAAGCCGGCGAGCAGTTAAACGCGCTTTCCAACCGGTCCCATAATTGGCGTAACATTCCAGAGTAATGATGTAACTGCCTCGCGGCGTCGCAAGCCATTCACATGCACCAAGGGCCATATCATGAATCATTTTGTTTATTAAATCCATCGCCATAATTTTTAATCCTCATTTTATCTATGAGGTGTCTAAATCTATTAATCCTATAATGAACTTTACAAGGTTACGTATAGACACGAAAATGCCATGTACAGATGCTAAGACAGAATGCTATGTTACAGTGCAATCACTAGTGTAAAAAATTAAAAATGCGCTATCGATTAGTACAGAATGAGCCATTGAAAATTGCGAATGTGAGGATTGTTGAAATACCTGCGATTGTATTACAACAGTAATGCAATTAAGCGAAAATATTTAATTTGTTACGCTGAAAAAACGATTGCTGTAGCTATATGTTTTTTATAGAATGGGGGCACAGATTACCCCCTATCAGGGAATAGGGGTGACTAACGGGCACACAGTCTACCTGATAGTAAGTGGATGCTGTGGCCCATAGACATCTACATTTATCTTCGATTAAGAATCATTCAGATGCGTTATCAGCCCTGAGGACTATGATGGAATGCGTCGTTGATGTCGTTTCCAGTAAAAAGGGTTTCCGGTTTTCTAATATATTATAATCTCAATGTAAAAAATTAAATATTTTCACTTCTTTCTCTTTCAAACTTAATCGCTTGATTAAAGAAGACTGTTTTATCACCATAATCAATATAACGAAAACTTTAGTTATTTAAGAAAGTACCTCCTCTATAATATATAAGAAAAATGCTTTGAAAAAAATTTAATTTCTCATCTTTTAAATATCATTTAGGTTATTTTATTGTTTAAAGTTTTCTATTGTTTACAATGT